ACATTCTCGCTTAACTGCATTGGCTCCCTGTTTACTACCATGGCCTGTTCAAATCCTTTCATGGTCTTGCCTCACCATATTTAGCCACTCTTGCATCTATGTCCCTTCTCGCCCTATACGTTATGAATATTTGCTGTCTCTCTCTGTGCATCCTCCTCCTTGTGCTTAATCCAAACTTCCGCTGTTTCTCTCTTCTCACCCCCTTCACTGGAACAAACATCCCCTCTACTCACTTTTTTCCATAGCTCACCCCACGACCCCTTAATCTCCCCCTAATAACCATTACTGTTCCTGCTCCCTCTTCATAATTGCATTACATATCTACCACTCATTCCCCATTCATTAAATCCATGCATCATCATTTGCTTGATCAATTTATATTTTACCTAATTAATGCATCAAAGATTTGCCCATTACTTCTTCTCATCCATTTTATTCACCTCATCTCACCCATTACATTCATATGTAACATTCTTAATTATGTATAAAGTGCCTTGGTCAAGACGCTATATAAATTGCGTGAAGATAAGATACATGGCTTGTACGACCCCTGTAAAGTACGGCGTTTCAAACTCAAATTTAGCAATCGGATATCACACTGTTTCCATCCATTAGTATGCATATACAGGCAGACCTTGCTTAGTACGACTCTGTAGTTATAGCACTCATTGCCCTGGAGAAAATGTTTACTTAAAAAAATAAAAATACAAAGCTTTTGAGTGAGAACACGCAGCAGAGAACACGCCCCCATCATTTGCTCAGCCAATGAGAGCGTACGCACTTTCAGCCAACCAGATCCCGCCCCCGTGCTTCAATTAACACGGTTTGTGGTCACAATTACATAAAACAATATATATTTCTTGAGCCAGGTGAGAACTCACGAGATCAGGATGGAGTCTCAGGCTCCAGCTAAAAGAAACTTCACCACAGAAATCTGGACTGAGGGTATCACTAATATTACGTAGGCCCTGGAGCTCTTCTCTGAGAATGACGCGGATTGGTGAGCGCTGTAGCAGCTCCTCCAATGTCGTCTCCCACCGCTGCCTGGTACGATGAGTTCAGTATAATGCACTCGTGACTACAGTACATAATAATTAATGTAATTATATATTTTTTGTCAAATAGTGTTTACCATTTGGATTGTTCGCTCTATTACTGATACCCCAATGAAGCCCTCACATATTGCTCAAACGTAGAAATAACGCTGTTGGGACCAGGCTGTCATCAATGGCCGCTCAAATTTGCCAGAACAGGTGGTGCAGAACAGTTATCTCCATTTTTCAATTCTACCCACTGATTTACACCTTTGGCACCCACACGTTGTATGAGTCTCACTCTTGAGTTTCCACCCTTGCCCGTCTGTTGTAACATCCTCCCTTGACTACCACTCTCTATTGTACCTTTATCAACTATTTTTTTTTGTTCAGCTAACACTCTTTTGCCATGTCTGACTTCACAATTATATCTCTGGCATTTCAGTATCTATGTCCGGTTTGGTAACCGGGTTTACTTTAAATTGGTTCCCCTGATGAAAGTGTCCTCATCCTCAGTATATTACAATATGCTTCATCGTGTGAATTTAGGTATCGCTCAGCCATCTCCCGTACACTGGGTTTCTGTCTTTCAAAAATGCATGCATGTCTCGTGTACATATGTAGTGCCACGGCCGCGGAGCAACTCCGCAAGCGCCGCGACTCCCCCCTGCCTCCCACCATAAACATACGCACACACGCAGCATACACACGTAGTGTCCCAACGGGGGATCGCCTGGCACAATGGGTTTTCATCCGAAGGGCCCCTAGGCGGAAAGTCCCGTGGTTTCCCAGTGCCAGGAGATTGGCCGACCCTCCCAGGACAAATCACATTGCGGCGCCCCTAAATTGGCTTAAAATTGTATGGGCGCACAAAGGTTCACCGGGCTAGCCGCAATAAGTCACGTGCGACATCGGAAAGGGCCACAGAGATCGAAAAGGTGGGTGGGGCGAGAGGCGGAGCCAGCTACAGCCCAGGCTGATATAACGGGAGCCCCGTGTGGGGCTCGGGGTTCTTGACTGTTGTTGAGGGAAGATCCACGTCGGGTTGAAGAAGCCTTGAGCCACACGGTATGGGACCCAGCTCAGTGGTCCGGACCAGGATAGCGGGACCATGTTTAGTTCTGCCGTAGCATGGTTAGATGGGCGTTCAATACCCGAGTGTAGGTTACGTTATGTTGTGATGAGTTGATGTAATAAATAGTGTTGCTCCCAAGACAACGTCTAGGACTGGTTGAACTCACTACAACTGGTGTGAGAAGTGGCCAAATTGCTAAGCTATAGCTAGCGTCATGTCTACATGTCGCAGAGTTCGTGTACGGGCGTCGGACGACGAAGATGACGAGGAGCTGATTCCGCCCACAGCCGTCGAGGAAGGAGCGGAGGCACTGCCAGCGGAGCAGAGCGTAGTCGGGGTGTGCGGCGCCTCACCTTTGGTGGAGGCACTCGTCAGGGACACGCACAGTCGTCTTGCTGACCTCATTCAAGCAGCGTCCTCGATTCTCGCCGAGATGCATTCCCTGTCCTCGATGCCAAAGGAGGGAGCGGCAGAGTTGTCCGGACGGGGTGACTCGGCCGCCATTTCACTGAAGGCGGAAACGCCATCGACGATGACTGCGCTCGCGGCCGCCATTTTGCCGCTGGTGCGGAGCGCTGAGCCCGCCAAGCTTGAAGCGGGGACGTCCTCATCGATTGACGTCCAGTCGCTCCTCCGTCAACTGCCCTTCATTAAATAATGTGTTGCCGCCAGCGGCGACTGGGTGGCGTTTAAGCGGCAATTTCTCATCAATGCCGACTTGGCGGGATGGACGGAGGCAGACGCGCTGAAAGCGCTGCCCTCGACGATGACGCCTTGGCGGCGTTCCTCGCCATCTCACCGTCTGAGAGGTCCACCCTCACGCCGGCGTTTGATCAGATGGCCGCTGTTTTAGAGCCTCCGCTGAACACCCGCCAGAAGTTCGCCATATAACGTAAAAGGAATGGTGAGTCGGCTCCTGTGCTTACTTGGGACTGATTTCCTCGGCAAAATGCCCCTAAAGATTGATATCGACCAGGGCTATTTGGAATTGCCGTTGGGACGGCGTATGGCATTTCTCCCGTCTCCGACCCGCATGTGCTCTGCTGTCACGGTGCAAGCGCTTGCATGCTGAATGGTGCGGATTCCGCCCGGCGCACAAATGTTGGTGCCCATTCGATTTCATAAACTGCTTGATGTGCGTGCTGAGGGGGGTATGGTATTGTGTTGGGTCCCTCAAATAAGCTTAGTCGGGGGATGTCACTCGTAGCGGCTCAGTCGCTGGTGTCCCGGGACCAGGAACCTATCATACAAGTCCTTAATGCCGGGTCGGACACAAGGGTCATTCAGGAGGGTTCCGTGATTCCGCATGCATCTCCGGCGTGTCCGGAGAAGGATGTCGTGGGAAATGTCGGGGTCGGCATTCGGGCTCACGGACCTCGGGACGTGGATGAGGGCTGGATGGATGGACTGTGCTCTGAATGCGGCGATTTATCCGTGGGACAAACAGGGAAGCTGAGGGAGCCCGAGCGAGTATTTCGTCTACTCTTCCACGCCGATGACACGTTTTGGAAGTATTGGGCATACTCACACTTTACCCCATCGCACGCGATCTGCCAATTGACTAACTGTACGTACATATGTTGAACTTCTTTTGCACTGTACATAGCGAACCTTGCTAAACAGATGTGGGGGAAGGACAATAAACTAAACACAGAAATCAGTTCTAAAGAAAAAAGTTCAATCTAGATGATTTAAAAGTGCATAGCTTCAGTGGCTTTCTAATTTCGGAAGGAAGAACATTCCAGACGACCACAGAATCTGAACGCATGCGATACAGTGACCATCTTTGTTCGACGGCTAGCCAAAAGCTGCTGCTGCAAAAATTACCGGAGTTCATGTGATAGTTTACGTTCTTTGAAGAGATCAGCACAAGGTATTGTGGCTCATTTGTGGCAAGCACTTTGTGTGCTCTCCTATCAATGTTACGTGTAATGCACAGGGCTGCATGAAGGTCACGGTTGTGAGCAGAATAACACACGCGTTCTAAAAGCATTATGCATCATTTAGGTTTGCACTGAACGAGTCACTTTAGCTAGCAGAGAGAGGGTCCTTGCTATAAAGAAAAAGCTGGCAGTTCCACCAGCATTGGTTCAAGCAAGCCGAATTGCAGATGAGGCATTGAATGACGAACCTGGTCTTGAGTTTGCGTTGAACCGATGCTGCTGAAAAGATGCACTCCCGGAGGGCCCGTGTGGCTGATGGGATGTGTCAACTAATACTGATATTATTTTTTTACGTGAAGGGGCAGAGACATGAATGAAGCATACGGTCTGCTTAATTTATTTTCTCGGTTAGTCTGTGTGTATCGGGAAAGCAATTCCACACAAAAAAAAATCCTGGCCACAAAGTAACTCATTATTAAGGTCGCACGACAGACAGCTTCACCCAACACTCTCTCGCCCCCGACGTTCGCTGTTTCACTTTTGACGTCAGTCCTCTTTGACTCAAGAGCGTCACTAATGTTATTTATATATAAGAGATTGGAGCTGTCAATCAGCAGGCGCCGCTAAATTTTGCCGTCCTTTGATTTCAGCTCGTGTTTAACAGTCCCACGCTTTGACACAAAAGGACAGAGGGGGCTGGAACGACCTCCTGTACATTTGATGATAAATATTTCCGAACATTTCTCCACCAATGTTAAGATTATGTCTCTGTTATTAAACCACGGTTCTGCCCATGTCAAAATGTGCCATCCAGGCTGAACCCAGTTTGTTGATTTCATTCAAAAATAGTTAAAGTGATTAACTGCTCAAATTTATGACGGGCGTCCTATGCGAATTGACAAAACAGTTCACCAGACAATACACCTCGCTCCCATGTCTGTTCCTCCATTTGCCAGATGTTTATAAGAAAAAGAGCCTTTGTTGTTCGATATAGGTCAAACAATGCAGTCAAGCCAAGTCGATTTATTTTTGTTTAACACGTGGCGCCCTTCTGGCACAAATCCACCACACAAAGCGACCATAATACTGTAATGGATAACACAAAATAACCACTACCTAATAACACTGGCCTGGACTTTTGCAGCTGTTTTAGACTAATTTCAGGGTGCTGATTCCAAATCTGATCTCAGATTTGCTCTATCACATCTCATTTTTATGCTATCGGCATACCCCATTTTCATTGATTTTAACCAAAATTAACTCTGTCACTTATGATTGCAAATTGTTGCGAGTCAGTGACTGCTTTAGTGTTAAAATATGGTGCTGTATTTTTAGGATAGTGTGTTTATAATATAATTTTATGTAGATATCCACATTTATTTAATATTTTTCTTCTGCAGTTTTTTATTGAAAATGCAATATTTGATATCTCAAAAACCAGATTTGGAATCGGCACCCCAAAATTACCTTAAAACCGTTGGAATACCTTATGCCAGAAAAAGTGTGTTGACCAGTGTAATTATTGTGTTAATATTAAGTAACGTGATGCGTTTTCAAATTCAACATTTCCCTGACCACCCAACCTGTACCAAACCCAGAGCTTAATTAACGCAAAAAACATTCTAAATGGTACGAAATGGTGTCTCAGGCCTATGCTTTATAACATGGGTAATTACCGCATACAATGAGAATGAGTATGATTTTAGCAATGCGTATTAACTGCAGACACGGTTACAGAGCGCGCACGACACAGCTACACACCATACAGACTACAGTCACAGCGTGTAGACGATACAGTGACAGCATGTTGACTACACAATGACAGCGTAAAGACTATACAGTGACATTGTGTAGACTACATAGTGACATCGTGTAGACTACACAGACACATCGTGTAGACTACAGTGACACAGCGTGTACACTACACACTAACACATCGTGTAGACTACACATTGACACAGCATGTAGACTACACAGTGACATTGTGTAGACTACACAATGACACAGCATGTAGACTACACAATTACATTGTGTAGACTATATACATTACACATGTTACACATAATATTCTTGCATTTATTAATTAATTTAATTACATATCCATCACAGATATAATTTTTTTAAACCAGCCAACCTGGTCTGGGTTTTAATGAAGAAAAGGTCAGCTGCGATTTTTAAACATGGTTTGTTAAACGACAACCACCAAACCGGTAACCGATTTGAAAACCGGTCACGAGTTACGAAAGTCCGGAACTGGTGGAGTGTCAGCAAAACGAATGCTCCGATCGCCTCGTGTGAACGTACAAGATGGCACGGTGGTAGGCGTAAGTCACCGTGTGGGACATCTGCGCAACTACCTACCCGTTGGCGTCATGGTGACAAGGAGATGTTAACTACGTCGCCTGGTATGCAGGAAGTCGTCGCTTCGATCCCCACCCTGACGCCTGCTGTATATTTGGAGTTTGCATGCCTTTCTTTCCCAGTGGCCGCGTAGATTTTTCTCTGGGTCCTCTGGTGTTTCCCTCCACATTTAGAAACATGCGTTTAAAGTATTTGGCTGATAGAAATGTTCACATAAGCCACTTCGTTGAGTTATCGTTTGTGGCAAAATCACTTCTGATAAAGAGCTATATAGCTTGGTGGGCCTTACCTGGTAAACTAAAAAAGTGTTATATTTTAGAAAACTGTAGGTTTACTCTCCAACACACCGGTTAGTGCCGATCTATAAACAAATTGACATGTCTGGTTTATGTGACAAACCATTGACGAATGGCTGTGTCGGGTGGTGGTGGCAGGTTTAATGACAAGATTTATATATGCATGATCTAACCCAAAAAAAACTTCTATTGCGGATATTGGTCGTGAAAACCCTACTACTATGTGTTAAACATGACATGGTGTGTAAGGCCCGACGTCCACCCCACCGCCCTCGCTGGGTAGGTGGGGCGTGACGTCCGCCCTCTCCACTCCAAAACGTGGGGTGTGCAGCCATACTTTTGAGCCCGCCGAGTAGAAGGGGGTCTCCATACGGGGGCGGGCGCGTGACATGGGCCCCTTGCAAGGTCCCCATCAGGTGTACCACACGCTGGCTCCCCTTCCTCCGGTTGTGGCGGAGGAACGCCGAACAACAGGTCTGCTGGTAGGCGAGACTCACGACCATTAGGAATGGGGTCTGTCCCATAGATGTGTGTAACCCCTGCACGCTCGCCACTCTAGCGTGGTGCACCGTCACAGCATTGCTGGGGTACTGTGGAGGTTAAAAACTCGCAGAAATAGCCGGCCCCCATCAGTGTTTACCAACGTGGCCGACCCTACAACCCCATACCGTGTCGCCAACTCCAGGTGAGGAGTCAACATTACCTCTCCCGATCGTCAGTGACAGGGGCCGGTGGGGGGCGTTACTATCGGCAACAGCATCTCTACGAGGTGGCCAAAGGTGACGGCCGACGCCAGGATAGAGGCCACGGGCTCGAAGTGGGGGCGACTCAGCTCCTGTCCAAAGGACAGAATCTGCTCCCCGCTGCCCTCCACGGTGGCGCATCGCTGGCGGGTGTGTACGTTGAGTCTCAACTTTTCCAGGAGGTCGGTACCTGCAATACACTCGTGGCATAACACGCTCAACACATAGAACTCCTGGACACACACCTGGTGTCCGAGACGGGCCTCAAGAGTGACCCTCCCCAGCAGTCCCATCCCAGCTCCACTTGCAGTGTGCAGCGCGCGATCCGGGGCCTGTAGGTGGCCCACGTCAAGCCCGACCATGCTGCAGTGTGTTGTGCTCACGAGTGAGGCTACCGCCCCCATGTCCAGCAGAATCCGGATACGCTGCCTGTTCACCTGCCCTTCCACCAGTGACGTGGCCCCCGTGATTCCTGCCACCAGCTCCCATAGCGAGTCGCCCGAAGTCACCGCGTTCTTGGGTGTTGTTGCCGGCATCTGCGTAGGGGTCACTCGCTCGCCATTAACATTACAGTTTGTGTTGGGACCATGTTAATTGTACGCCTCGGTGATCCCCTCTCTAGGGAGGCCTTGGTGTTTAAACCATGGTGCTTTTCTAGCGCGGGCGATCTGGGGACAGTCTCTCACGAGATGCCCCCGTTGGTCGCATATATAGCACGCGCAGGGAAGGGTGGTGGCTCCATAAGAGGCCCCTTGCTCACTCCCCCTTCCCCTTCCCAGTGCGCATTTGTTCGAGCTCTGCCTCTAATTGAGACATTCACCCGGTTATCCCCCCTACCGTGGAGCGTAGTCCTCCCACCTCGGACTGGACCACCTCCATTGTGGACTGCAGCTTGTCGATATTTCCGTGTACTTGGGTCACCTGCTCGGCTATATCTCCTAGGCCAGTTTGTAAGCCTGCCACCCATCCCGGGGTGGACTCACTAGGTCTCAGGGGCTTTCTTGGCCCCCTCCTCACCGTCCTGGGGAGCTCCTCCTCCTCTTCCTCTGGAAGACGGCTTGCCATGGTGTGCTCCCATCCCAGCCCTCAGACATGTGCACGCTCACGAGCAAATCTTTCCCACACGTGCGCGCGCTCGACAAGGGTGTTAAATAGGGGATACGGGCAGTTCGCATCTGGCTGCCACCATCGTGCTAATCAGATACTGCTGAACTTTCTCACGCATTTAATGCTGCCTTTGCCTCTTCCTGGTAGCACGCACCGAAGCGTTGGCCGAGGGCGGTGCATTAACTCTCCCCAATGCGCTTGCGTGCTTGTGGGTAGCGCTTCCACAAAGTCGGCTGCCCGCCCATCCAAACGATTTCCATGATGGAATTCCCTGCTCGGTGAACACTTATTTTCGCTTGGGGTGGGGCGCTTCTCTCCCTTGGAGGTGTGGGGAGTCATACCACCTCTGACACCCTCGCTGGGCAGGTGGGGCGTGACATACGCCCCTTCCACTCCCTCTTCCACTGCGTCGATTGGCTCCCGCCGGGCCCCCGCCAACCAGGTGATCGGCCTCCCCGCGCTGGCGCTCTGAGGGACATGGCTACAGCGCTGGCTCACAACCACACGGGGTTACTCCATACACGTCCCCGTACACCATCACTAATGCGAAGGCGGCTGCATGGACGCACTTGCCCCTGCTGGCGCTTATATTTTAATATGCGCACGTACCACAACTAGCGCTATAGTGGCGGCGCGAACTTGCGCGCTTCTGCGGGCGGTTATTTTAACGAGCGCTTGTGCTGCGGCTCTACACTCGCTCTCCTGCGCACACCATCACTCACGCCGATGCGGCGCGCCGCGATACGACCGCACCCCCGCCTGTAGCGCTCTCCTCTCCGCACGTGTGCCCACGCTACTTACAATAATGCAGCGCACCGCACTAAGCCTGACACTGAACGGCTGCGCGAACGTCTGCGGGTAGTTATAGGCTCATACGCTTGCACACAAAGGCTGGCGCTAAAGCGGCTGCACAAATATGTGCACGCCTCCGGGTGGTTAAACCCTAATCCGCTCACGCACAAAGACTACCGCTAAAGCGGCTGCACGAACACATGCGCGTCGGTGGGCGGTTGTATCCCACACCGCGTCCACACAATGACTAATGCTACAGCAGCGGCGTGAACACGCACGCACATGCTGGTGATATAACGAGCGCGCGTGCTGTGGCTCTGCCCTCGCTGCTCACCCGCCCACGCAGCTGCTCCACACACACACACACAAATCACACTGCACCGATAATCTGTGCTAACGTTTATTCACGGCGAAATTACACACTACCCGGGGGGAATATTTTGCGAGAAGAGCCTAGCCTAACTCTGCCTACGTACCTAGTCATTCACACGTCCTATCACGTACCTCGAAGCTGTACTCACAGCGTCGCACAGACGCTGTGAGAGTCGGAGAGAGAAGGACGAGCCAAAGAGAGAGCCAAAATCGTCCCAGGCTACTCTTTTTATTCCCTTAACTTTAAAGGCCCAGGGTGCCATTGTACCGCGCGGCCCATCGTGCGCTTATCTGTGGTTACCGTCCCCCTGTTACCGCGTCCTTCCTCTAGTCCATGGAGACGGTCGCTGGCCACCCATTGTCCCTCGTTGCCCATTGTCTGGAAGGGCGCTTGCACTTTTCTTAATATTCCGCCCTCCGTCCTCCCCCCAATGTTGTGAGTAACTCATTGCGGTTGGTCCAGTGAACCTTTTCTTTCTGCGCCCATACAATTTTAAACCAATTTTAGGGGCATCAGAATGTAACCTCCTGCCACTGGGAAACCGTAGGACTTTCCCTCTAGGGGCCCTTCAGATTAAAACCCGATGTGCCAGGCAATCCCCCGCCAGGACACTACATGGGTGCATGTTCTGCATGTGCTCAGGGTGGGGGGTAGTGGAAAATCGCGGCACTTGCGGAGTTGCTCCACGGTCGTGGCACCACAGGTGCTCGCCCTTTCTTGCACAGATGCTATATTTCTGTCCGTCTGCTCGAGCAGAGGTGTAGGGAATTCCAACAAGACCTACATCTCTGCTTTATTGACCTGCTTAAGACCTATGATACCATCAGTAGGCCTGGGCTCTGGGTTGTTCTTCATGCTTTCGGAGTCCCTGAATCTCTGCTCACGATCATTAAGGACCTTCATAATGGTGAGCGGGCCATTCACCGTGGGGTGCGACAGGGATGTCCTCTGGCTCCAACATTACTGAACATCTATTTTGCCCACGTAGTTCGTAAAGCCTTAGATTGCTGTACCGGAAGAATTTACATATGGTACAGATACAATGGGAGGCTGATCGATGCCCGGGTGCAGTCAGGGGATGGCTCCCTATTGGTCAACCATGTTATGTATACAGATGATCTGGTAATTGCTGCTCACTCAGAGGAGAAATTGGAGGCGCTTCTGCTGAACCTGAAGCGTGCCACTAAAAGGTGAGGCCTTACCATCAACCCCACCAAAACTAAGCACCTGCCTGGGTATTTTGCACCATCGACACTCCACCCCCACAACTCCCAATTGGTGATGGAGAGCTTCCCATACCTGGGCAGTGTGCTCATGAGCGGCTCTGGTTTGACAGCAGAGGTCTCACTCTGAATCAGTCGAGCGGCATTATCTTTTCATTGGTTGCGTAATGCTGTGTGGAAGCTACCTGGTCTGTATCTCTACACAAAGCTTCAGGTCTTCTCGGCCACAGTCATGCCCTCCCTTCTCTACGCTTGCGAAACGTGGACCCCCCTAATGGAATATCTTCGCCAGTTAGAAACATTTAGGCGAGCCTGCCTATTATCCATCCTGGGTTTAACCAGGCTGGATTGTGTGAGGAGCTCACAAATCCTTGAAAGATCTCGACAAAGTCCCATCGGTAAGCTCCTCTGCCAGGGAAGGCTGCGTTGGCTGGGTCATGTAGCCCACATGCCCAGCCACCGCATGCCTAGACAGCTTTTGTTCGGCCGGATAGAGGGGGCTAAATGGGCATAGCACGGGCTGGAGAACAGATGGAGTGATGTGGTACAGGAGGACGTGGAGCTGAGTGGACTTTGCAATGATTGGTACCAGCAGTGTCAAGATCAGCCTCTGTGGAGGAGGCTTGTGAAGGATTCTACTGGACAGTTGGAGGCAGTCGCCCTCCAACAACAACGGAGGGCAGAGGAGCGAGCTCACAACGAGCGGAGTGCCGGGTGGATAAAAAACAGCAAGTTGGCACAGTAAGGCACAGGTGGCGCATTGGGCAGTCATCTCAGTCAGTCAACCCGTGGCACCTGGGTCTGCCCCATGACCTCCTGCCAACGGGCGTTCGACACTTCACGTGGCCTCAACATGCACATAGCCTGGCACAAGCGCCGTGGTGACGTCACCGCCACTTAGTAGTGAATGGCGGTTGTTGTGCACTCATCATGACCCCATGCATTGCCCTGGAGGCACACTGAGACCAGGGTCATCACGACGAGGGGCTCCAGGGATGGTCCGTTGTGTCCTACCGCTGCTCTGGAGGGTATTTGGTTTCACAGTATCACTGTGTCGTTTACCCACTGTGTCACTGTGTCTTCTACAGGTTGGCTGGTTTAAAAATGATATATCTGTGATGGATGTGTAATTAAATTAAATAGTAAATGCAATAGAATATTATGTATAACATGTGTAATGTATATAGTCTATACAATGCAATTGTGTAGTCTACACGCTGCGTCACTGTGTAGTCTACCTACTGTATCACTATGAAAACCGCGGTAGTTGCTAGGCCTCGGCAAGGTAAGGTAATTTACCCTTTTTACCGGGTAAAAGGGTAAAGGCAAAGGGTAAAGGTGTCGAAATGCCAAGAGGTAAGGTAAAGGGTAGGGTAAAGGTAGCTCGGAAGAATTACCCGGTAAGGTAAAGTTAGCGCGAAGTATTACTCGGTAAATATGGTACCTTGTTTACCGCTAAAAGCTCCGTGGGGCAGTCCGTGGCCTCCATTTAATAAGTAATATAAAGAAAAACACTGTTTTAAAAACACGCTTTAATGAAATGCACTAGTAATGGCAGAACTCCACGACTCCAGGAATGGCCCCGAAGCTTGCCATAACGTAAGGGACCGTGGCCAATTACAGCCAACATCAGTTGAGCGTGGACAATTAGACCCAAGCCGAAACATAACATATACAAAATAATGTTTAAAAATATATATTTTTAATGATAGAATATAGTGTTGTCATCAGTATGACATAAGTATACCAAGTTTGAAGTCGATACCACATTGGGAAGTGGGTTTAAATTGAGTTACAAGATTTGAGGATACGACAACAACAACAAAGTGAGTTAAAAGCGTGTAAAATTAGAATCATGGAGAGTATTCTCTATAAATAAAGTGCTCTGCCTAGCATTTACCATTAAAAACCTTTTGCATGTGTAGTAGTACCCCAGTAATTACCCTGTAATCGGGTAATTTGTATGGGGTAAGGGTAGGCTCGTTGCTTTCTATCTTTTACATTTTACCTTACCTGCTAAAGGGTAAAAGGAAGGGTAGAGTGATTGTATTGTGGTAAGGTAAAAGGTAAGGTAAAGTTAGGCTTGTTTTTTTACATTTTAACTTTTACCTTACCTTGCCGAGGCCTCGTAGTTGCGTTCCTCAAGAACACCGCGGTTTGGAAAAATCACATAACAACCATTGAGTCAATGGGAATTAAGGGGTTAGGGGGTAGCAGGTTTCTAAAACACCAACATGACTGACTTTTCACAATAATTAGTCAATGTTGTTATTTTGTACGTGTTCTTTTATAATTTCTGTGTTTTAGTTTGATATTATTCGTTAATTGAATAAAAACATGAAAATTAGTGAAAAATGCACACTACGGTGTTAGTCACTATGGAGGAGGGTGAAGAGAGAAAATTATGAAGGGCGTGAAACGGCTTGCTTAGTAGTTTTTAATGATACAATCTTTTTTTTTTACCATTAGAAACAATTATGAGCTGTAAATAAACTTATGAACTTGTTTTAACACTTACCACAAGAAGATAAAATGGCTCCTTGAAACGATCATGGTAAAGCTCAGTCCGCAATAACACGTGAGATGCCTACACAGGCTGAACGAAGACTGAGGGTGCACGTGTGTAGCATCTAGAAGCATCCAGCAGCATCCCAATGCCTCATGTACCCGTACAACCGCTTATTCCTACCCGTGTGACGTAGTTCTGTTCAGTCAGCCGCGTTATATCCAATTCACGTCCGTGTTATAAAAAAATGCGTTATCCAATACATTGTGTTTTATATATACAGTATATCCAATTCACGTTATGAAAACTACGCGTTTATAGCATAACGGACTGTGATAGGGAAACAAACCCCACGATTTAATTACCGCTGGTTGGAACTCCACGCTAAGTCCCGCTGGGTGGTATCGTGTGTGATGACACGCGTGATGATGAACATGTGCACCGTGTGGTCTCCAGGCAGCGACGACCCGGCCAGGGTGGGCGAGTCGCCGCGGAAGGCGGCCAGCTCAACCAAGCGGCAGCAGAAGCCCCATTTGAGGAGCAGGGGTTCCAGACTCCACTCCGCGCTGTGCAGGGGGTCAGAGAGAGACAGAGGCAACGATAAAACTGAAAAAGCCATTGCTGGATGAGCTCTCTCATGTACAGCAGCCGATAGAATAACCTCCCACTCCACATCCGACAAATTGGCTCCATCACAGTATTATTCAAATCCAAACTGAAGGCATTTTTTTATTCATCTAGGCATAAGCTGAGAAAAAAGGTAATCACATTTGGACATTTGACTAATTGGTAGAGTAGCGGGTATGCGGGAGACCGTGGGTTCGATCCCGACCCTGACGCCTGTATGTTAGGAGTTTGCGTGTCTCTCTCCCCGTGGTCACGTGCATTTACCTCCGGGTCCTCTGCTTTGTCCCTCCACATTTAAAAACATGTATTTAGAGTATTTGGCTGCTATAATACATTTCCACGTGATAAGCCACTTCGTTGAGCCATAATTTGTGGCCAGTTCGCTTCTGAAAAATACTGATATACTTAGTGGGCCTTCTTATCTGGTAAAATAAAAATAATTTCTTTAGTTTAACACCTCACGTTATTTTACGTTTAGACATATGGGAAGGAGGCATACCGTGCGATTGTTCATTGTGCTCTGACCTTGCGCACGATGGCGGCAGTATGCCCAGGGGCTTAACACTGATAATCGAGGTCTGCTGCTCACTGCCACGAGAGGGCTTCAGGACAGAGGTCGTCGAAGGGAGTGCACACTATGGTGATTTAATAAACAGCCATATTGGCTTACACCGGTGCGGCATAACACACTGGATCCTCATAAAATAGTTTAAAATATATTATTTTTTATCAGAAAATCTGTTTATCGGTAATTAATTGACTCCTGTCGCCAAGTTTGATGCAATTCAAAGGTTTATTCAGTATATTGAGGCTTGCTAAAACAGGTCGGTATTGACCGTTGATTTGGGGTCTGTTGAATCGAGTAACCGTCTGATCAGGTCTAGGGCACGAGGAGTCAAATCTGCCTTTAGAACACGGAACAGCCAACCGTAATCAGGCTGGGTGCTGCGATAAGGTAACAGACTGTGAAGCTTCGTGTTCAGCTGCTCAAATAAAGGTAGTCTTCTGACCGCTTCGACATCACGAGAACTGATTTTGACGCACCCCCCCCCCACCCACAAGATTTTCTGACCGGGGTTGCGGATCGTCGGAAAACAAATTATTATTGCCCAAATTTTATTTTACATACCACACACCACCGGTGTATTGCTAATACAGTAGTCCCTCGGTTGACAGTGACATCGGTTCACTGTTTTTCGGTCAACGTTTCGTCGCCCATATGGACCCCACGGTTTCCACTAACGTAAAAATGTAGACTTTTTACGTTGTGCACGCAGGCACCAAATTCGGTCAATTCGAGCGCTAGTGAATGGGGTTGAGCCATGCCCTCAGCCAATCAGCGATGCCCATTTATGAGCGTTTAGACCTCGACTGTCTTTGTTTACATTACGTATGAATGATTTTAACATGTGTAGTGTTGTGTAGAATCACTCAGTCGGACACGTTGTTCCAAGTCACCTGCTTACACTTTATTACTCTACTCTTGCACCAGTTGCAGGCACTCCTATCTCTGTCTATACGGTCACCTTGTTAACCAACTTCCCCTATCTACTTTACACCTTGCTGACCTGCCTGTGGCAGCTCTTCCTCAAAGCAGCTTCGCACTCACAGCTCCGCACTCACAGCTCTGCACACAGACAGCAGCTCACACAGAGCTTGCACACAGCAGCACTCACACAGAGGCTTCGCTCACAGAGGCTTCGCTCGCACAGAGCTTGCACACGGTTGCTCTCCTTCTGCGCCGCTGCCCTCGCCTACATTCCCTCAGACCCACTCACTCGTCCGATCCGGGCGGGGGGATCAACCATCACCCACCCGTCGACTCGTGAGGGTTGAGGTCCGTCCCTGGCTTGAGCGGCAGCGGCGAAATATCTTCACCTTGGTCTCAGAACCCGAACTCCCGCTCCGCTCTCACACACCCCCTTATATCCTCCTCCTAATTATCCAGCTCCTCCCTTGTGTCTCTTTAGGGCCCGACAGGCCGGTGCCTGTCAGGCCATCAATCACTCTTCATCAAACGTCTCCAAGGTGACACCTCCGGTGGCAGCGTACGACCCCGGGCCGACCCCGTCTGCAACCAAAACTCCCGTTAAAGAGGTGGGGGTTTGCACGTGCAACCTTACGTTGCACACGCGCACCTGCCTGCCCTCGGGCAGCAGTGCGCACCGCGTATTTTACCACACTACACATGTAATTCCTATATTCAATTAACAGTTGCCTTGGTTAACAGTAGTTTTCGTGGAATGGATTAAAAACGTTAACCACGGGACGTTCAAATGGTCCGTATAGATGGAAGGCGGTAGCCTCGTCACTGTGCGCCCACCTGTCGCAGCGTGTTCTACGTGTCGGCTTGAACACAACCTCAGGCTGTCCATCCAGGCGAAATGGTCGTCATTAATTCAAATCCAGATGCTATTGGTGTTGATTTAGGGACATGTACGTATGTATGTTGAACTTATTCTGCACCATAAGTAGACAACCGTGCTAATCAAAGTGGTTGCTTGTTGAACTGCTGAGCCTGTAACGATCTTTCAATTTCAGACTCATGCACCCGTAAAGCGCACCCCTCTCTCTATATAAGGTGGCTTTAATGACTAATGTGGCCCCGTTAAGAAATGATATCTCTCCACGCGACGCAGCTCGGCTGCCAAAACGACCATCACACTCCATTGGCCCCTCTCATTAGTTTGACTGATATAGATTGCATGCGGTATGCCACCGATGGATCGTATAACCGTTGCTAAGAGACTGCGGGCAGCATCGCGGCTCACACACACACATCATCTGAGTTGGGGCGAAAAAGAGGCCACGGGAAAACGAACACTGGCACAGGGGGAGCCCAACGCGAGGGGCTCTCCACACACAAGCAGCCAGCGCGCCTCCTTCACGCGCCCGTCTCCCTCCACGCCAAACGTGGGCTTATCATATCGGTGTAAACACATTATCCCATCAGCCACATGGCCCTTCTGGGGAGTGCACGATTTCAGCGGTGGCGACATGTTAACGACCCCGCATGGTATACGGGAGGTCGTGTGTTCGATCCCGACCCTGACGCCTGCTGTATATATTTGGAGTTTGCATGTGTTTTGCCCCGTGGTTGCATGGATTTTTCTCCGGATCCTCCGGTTTTTCCCTCCACATTCAGAAATATGCATTTAAGAGTATTTGGCTGCTATAAATTTCCACGTGATAAGCCACTTTGTTGGGCTATCATTTGTGGCCAGGTCCCTTCCGAAAAAGAACTATATAGCTCAGTGGACTTGAACTGGTAAAATAAAAAAATTGTTTGGTTTAGTTTAAGCACATAGATCCACTGGAGCGGTTTCAGCATTCAGTGTCTCATGTGGAGGGACAGATAAGTGAAAGAGGCGAAACATCTTTTAAGTTATTTTGATGCAAATATTCTCCACAGCAACGGTTTATGCGTGTTCACGTCCAATATATCAAAACCGTGATCTTATGAATGACTGGTTAAGGTGACGTGCAGTGCAATGATTTCACGTAATTCATCAGTTCTATTAATCTGATAGTCTGTTCTCCTATAACGCTGCGTGTTTTCACAACGCAAATTGGATATCACGTGATGAATTTATTTGAGAAGACATTTTTTTATAACACGAAATCGATATAACTCGATTGAGTGAACAAAACTTCGTCGAAGCGTGAGTAGGAATAAGCAGTTATATGGCTGCCTCGGCGTAGCATCACCACACAAGGCATTGAGATGCTGCTGGATGCTTCTCGATGCTACCCACATGCCTCAGTCTTTGTTCAGCCTGCATACGCATCTCATGTATTATCGTGGACAATGCTTTATCCTATATTATTTATATAACGCCATTTTTCGACAACGCGGTGTTCTTCAGGAGCACAACTACCGCCACATTATAGAACAGACTTTATAATGAACAAGATAAATATTCTCATCAGCCGTGATCAATTCACTGCTGGATGAAGACCTCCACTAACCACCGCTGCTTCTTGAGACTGCAACGCAACGATCTTCCAACAGCATGACACTGATCTCATCGTTCCCCGTCGCATTCAATTCCCTGGCTGCCGCTCCATTGTTGCTCTTCACCATCGCCTATCACCTCTGCTGGCCTCTGACGCGCCCTGCCCAAATCCACTTGTCTTAACAGTTTGGATGATGTATTCATGAACTTGCATGTGTCCTATAATCCACGTGTTGCTCTGTCCCAGTAGTCTCATTGTGATTCCCAGCATGCATATCTCTCCTGCTTACAGTGAGGGAAAAAAGTATTTGATCCCCTGCTGATTTTGTACGTTTGCCCACTGACAAAGAAATGATCAGTCTATAATTTTAATGGTATGTTTATTTGAACAGTGAGAGGCATAATAACAAAAAAAATCCAGAAAAACGCATGTCAAGAATGTTATAAATTGATTTGCATTTTAATGAGGGAAATAAGTATTTGACCCCTCTGCAAAACATGACTTAGTACTTGGTGGCAAAACCCTTGCTGGCAATCACAGAGGTCAGACGTTTCTTGTAGTTGGCCACCAGGTTTGCACACATCTCAGGAGGGATTTTGTCCCACTCCTCTTTGCAAATCTTCTCCAAGTAATTAAGGTTTCGAGGCTGACGTTTGGCAACTCGAACCTTCAGCTCCCTCCACAGATTTTCTATGGGATTAAGGTCTGGAGACTGGCTAGGCCACTCCAGGACCTTAATGTGCTTCTTCTTGAGCCACTCCTTTGTTGCCTTGGCTGTGTGTTTTGGGTCATTGTCATGCTGGAATACCCATCCACGACCCATTTTCAATGCCCTGGCTGAGGGAAGGAGGTTCTCACCCAAAATTTGACGGTACATGGCCCCATCCATCGTCCCTATGATACGGTGAAGTTGTCCTGTCCCCTTAGCAGAAAACACCCCCAAAGCATAATGTTTCCACCTCCATGTTTGACGGTGGGGATG